GTTTGTATAAATATATTGCATGAAACATTTGCTATCCCCCATCCACATGTGATAATTAACCAAAATTTTTCAAATCTTTCAGTGTTTTTTTTTCTTTTTTTTTATTTTAATAAATTTGCTTATTCATTTAGATGTATATAGAATTTATTATCCATCATCCATGTTAATGATTTAATACCGAATTTAAAAACTAAAGAAATAGAAAAAGTCTACTCATCAAGAGTCTCCTTTAATTGATATCAAATGAAAAAAAAAGAATAAGAAAATTCAGCTCTATTTTCATTGTTATAGAAAAGAACTTTTCCTTGCAACTATACGTATCAGGGTAAATGCACAGTTGGTGCTTTCGAGAAGTCCGGACATACTCAGTTACGAATTCTTCTTTTTCTTCTTCTTTTTTTTCTTCTTCTTGATACATACTTTTATGTCTTGGTATATTTGGTTTGCTGCATCCACGAACCACTGAGCGCCATTTTTTCATGGAGGGGAGGAACATAAATTATGTTGTTTGGTTGGATCTTTCTCTACCTTTTCCCTCTCTCTCTCTCTCTCTCTCTCTCTCTCTCTCTCTCTCTCTCTCTCTCTTTTAAAAAATATTTTTGCTCTCACAACCAGTCTAGATTTGCACATTTTTTTTGAACTCTTCGACTTTCCGTTGTTTAATCACGGACAAAGTTTTGTGGATTCATCATTGAATTGTATTATGTGTTTGTCACCTCTCTTTCAGTTCTTTTTCTTCGTCCTCCATCTCATATTATAAGAGTTACAAGTGATAATACATAGTTGTTAATTTATGTTCATATTTTTGGATTGTGTTACACACTTAAACTTCCCCAATGATTCGGCGGGAAGTCTTAAAATGATTTCGATGCCGATTTTGTTTGGGAAATCGAGCATCAATTGGAGATCTGATTTGAGATTTGGTAGAGTAAAAGTAGTAGATGTAAATTCATCCAAATGCATATTGATTTTTTTTCTTTGGTGGGCCTGATTTCAATTCCATGGCTACTTGGGGGATTGTGTATGACAAGCGTTTAACGAAAGGAGGGCTAAACATGCAAGTTTGTACAAGTTATGTGCAACTCATGTGTCCCTTCCCCTTAATTCTAGGTATTGGGTTTTAAAAATTTCTTAAATTTTTAAATCACTTTATTTCTTAATCCGTAAATAATTAGACCAAGTGTATTATATCATTTTCACAGTACTTGACGAGATCTATCAAACAAGATCACTCTTGAATATGTTTTTTGAAACTTAAAAAAATTTATGCAGTACCCTTGGTCTTATTAAAAGACATCCTGGTCTTATTGTGTCTTTTAGGACCAAGACCTACAGAAAAGACCAAAGGTCAAAGGCTAAAGACCAAAATTGCATATCAAAGAGCAAAGATCAAAGACCAGAGTAAAGAGCAAGCGTGTGTGAGGAACAACGACAAAAGACCAAAGACCAAAGACCAAGAAACCAAAGAGCAAAGAGCATAAACTGAAGACCAAAAACCAGAGTGAAAGGGCAAGCGTTGTGTGAGGAGCAAAAAGCAAAGACCAAAAAGCAAAGAATAAAGACCAAAGGCCAAAGACCAAAGATCAAAGACCAAAGACCAAAGACCGAAGGCCAATGACCAAACACCAAAGATCAAAGACAAAAGACCGAAAGCCAAAGACCAGAGACCAAAGGCCAAAAACTAAAAACTAAAGACCAAAGAGCAAAGACCAAAGACCAGAATTAAAAGCGAGCGTGTGTGAGGAGTAAAGAGCAAAGGCCAAAGATAAAAAATTGAAAAAATATTAGTGTGTTTAGGGTTTAGGGGGTTTAAGCATTTTCTTGTCGGTTATGGTCTAGTTGTTTAGAGTTTAGGGGATTTAAGCATTTCCTTATCGGTTAGCGTCTAGCTTGTGCCGTAACACGTTTAACCTTATAAATTTTTTTAAACCAATTAGGTACGAGACCCTAGCCTAATTGGTTTAAAAAAATTTAAACAAAAAAAAATTAGTGTGTTAGGGTTTAGGGGGGTTTAACCATTTCCGTGTCGGTTAGGGTCTTGTTGTTTAGGGTTTAGGGTTTATGGGGGTTTAAGCATTTCTGTATCGGTTAGGACCTAGTTTGTGCCGTAACACGATTAATCTTATAAATTTTTTTTAAACCAAATAGGCTAGGGTCTGGTTTTAAACGAGACCCTAGCCTATTTAGTTTAAAAACATTTAAACCAAAAAAAAAAATTAGTGTGTTTAGGGTTTAGGGGGGTTTAACCATTTCCATGTCGGTTAGGGTCTAGTTGTTTAGGATTTAGGGGGTTTAAGCATTTTCATGTCGGTTAGGGCCTAATTTGTGCCATAACATGATTAGCCTTATGAAATTTTTTTAAACCAATTAGGCTAGAATCTTGTTTACGAGAACCTAGCCTAATTGATTTAAAAAATTTTTAAACCAAAAAAAAAAATTAGTGTGTTTAGGGTTTAGGGGGGGTTTAACTATTTTTGTGTCGGTTAGGGTCTAGTTGTTTAGGATTTAGAGTATAGGGGGTTTAAGCATTTTCGTGTTGGTTAGGGCCTAATTTTGTACCGTAAAACCATTAAACTTATGAAATTTTTTTAAACCAATTTTAAACCAAAAAATAAAAAAATATTAGTGTGTTTGGGGTTTAGTGGGTTTAAGTATTTCCGTGTCGGTTAGGGTCTAGTTGTTTAGGGTTTAGGGTTTAGGGGGGTTTAAGCATTCTCGTGTTGGTTAGGACCTAGTTTGGTCTTTTGGCCATTGGTTTTTGGTCTTTGCTCCTCATACACACTCGCTATTCATTTTGATCTTTGGTCTTTGATCTTTAGTTTTCGGTTTTTGGTCTTTGGTGTTTTGTCTTTAGTCTTTGTTTTTCACATACGCTCGCTCTTCACTCTGGTCTTTTGTCTTCGATATTTGATTTTTGGTCTTTGGTTCTCACACACGCTCGCTGTTCACTTTGATCTTTGGCCTTTGGTTTTTTGTCTTTGCTCTTTGATTTTCGGTTTTTGGTCTTTGGTCTTTGCTCTAGGTCTTGGTCCTAAAAGACACAAGTAAAACCATAGCGTCTTTTAGGATGACCAAGCCAACTGTATAAATTTTTTAAAGTTTCGACAAATATATTCATGATAGATCTTATTGGATAGATCTCATCGAGTACTATCAAAATGATATAAGACACTTGGTCTAGTTCATTACGGATTAAGAAATAAAATCATTTGAAGATAAAAGAAATTTTTAAAACTCACTTCCTAAAATTAAGAGGAATGGACACGTGCATTGAAAAGGAAAAAGAAAGTATGTTAAATAATTATACATGAAGTCCCTTCGTTATTGAATAATCAAAAAAGATTCTAGGTACACCTAGTTAGATACACTTAATGTGCATAGTATAACAACTCAGGGTTTAATATCTTGGGAAGAAGACGAAACAAGAAAATGAGAAATGCAAATGAGATATTTTTAACCAGAAAATAACATAGCCAATTGAAGTATATTACCATATAAATGAAATAAATGAAACTCATGCTAGCAGCCAGGTTCCAAAAAACCAATACTAAATGTTTCATAACAAAGATCTCATACCAAATGTTTCCTTTGATAAAAAAAGAAAAATCTCATTCAAATGTTTCCTCTTCCAGCTTCATCGCAAAGCAATTGGAGTTCAGAGTAAGTCTATCCGGGTATCCCTAATACCAACAAAAAATCATTTAAAACTGATAAAAAAAAGCATAAGCAAGGTTCAGAAAAATATTTTATTAAAGGCATACATTTTCCACTCAGTATTTTGCAATTGATGAAGATTGAGTCACTTTGGAGGTCTTTCGGCGCTAATTGGGGTTATGGTTTATAAACAATCACAATGGAAGAAGAAAAATCAATTCTATTTGTCTTAGTAGTCTGATGACCCCGGATGTAAGGGTGTTTTATAGCATCTTATTGCAATCACTACAATGGAAAACCGGGTGCTTTGGTTAAAAAATCAACTAGAAAAAGGAGTAGAGAGATCTATATATATATTTTTTTTTGGTAAAGAAAAATGTGGAGATCGGATTCTCAAAATCCGACCTACTAATTAAATTAGTAGTTCGGATTTTATGAATCCGATTTAATAAAATAACAATTTTTTTTCCGGAAAATATATGTGAGAAAAATGTATTGAAAGTCAAATAAAGAACAGTCAAAGGTCGGATTTTAGGCATCCGACCTTGTTTATTTTCATTAAAAAATATAGGCGGGAGATTTGAAAATTAAGAACAGTACAAAATCGGATTTACAAAATCCGACCTTATTTAAGCATACCTAACAGTAGGTATCGGCATTGAATGGACGTTATTAGCTGGCAGAAGGTCGGATTCGTGAAATCCGGCCTTAATGTTAAATCGGATTTTCTAAATCCGATTTTATAAGTAAAATCGGATTTTAGAAATCCGACCTTTTTGTGTTATAATGGGGCGACGGAAAACACTGTTCACGTATCGGGATTTTTGGTAAAGTAGGCTATTTCTTGAAGGAGGAGGTGATTTTTGTGGCGATTTGAAGATTTTGTTCACGATTCTTCGCAACGGATGTCTTAAAACCATTTCATAAGAAGGTTAGTTAATGTTTTGATGTATTTAGAATTATTGTTGTTATTTTCTTTGTAAAAGTTTAGAACTAGGATGATTTATAAGGTTTTAGGGTTGATGTTGGGTGTAGTTGATGATTGTTGTTGTATACGTGGTATTGAACGTTCAATTTAGTAAAATGCTTGAATTTGGCCTAAACTTTTGAATTTGTAGGGGGTTTGGTAAATTTAGTGTTGATTATGCCTTGTTTGTGGTAATTGTTATAATAAGTTGTTTGATAATGCCTTGTTTGTGTCATTTTTTTTTAATAATTTGTTCATGATGTGTTGTAATTCATGTAATCAACAGATATAAATGACGTTTAACGGTCCATATTTCATTAATGTCTATTGGTCGAGCAAATTTGTAGTGAAGAATGGGATTGTGAATACTTTTAACAACATGCCGGACGATTCCTTTGTGATTGATCATAAGTTATTGTACAATGATTTGGTTGGACTGATTTGTGAAAGAGTGGGGTGGAATAGAAAGAATGTGAATTTGAATCTATCGATTTTGTATGATACGATGCGCAATGGTTTTAGGCGTATCGCCAAAATCAAGGACGACGCATCGTTGCAAGTGTTGTATTTCCTCCCAAGTTCGACATATATTGATTTGTATGTAGATTTGGAGGTGGCGGGTACATCTAGGTCCCATTTGGAAGTAGGGACAACTAGTGGTAGGCCGAATGTGGAGAATGTCGATTACATGGAAGATGATGATGTGGGTGGACCGTTTATGGAGGATGGCGATCACATGGAATATAATCACGGTGAAGATGATGAGGACTACACATCGATAAGTGATCAAAGCGATGAAAACCAATCAATATCCGAAGGAAGTCGGGAGAGTGATGAAGAGGTCGAAGACAAATTCGCCACAAAGGATAGGCACATATATCGTTCACAGGGTACATGGGATCATACAAAAGTGGACAAGGATGATTTTCAACTTACCATGTGGGACGGGACAACCGCAACAATTGGGATAGGGACTTGTTTCAAGAATAAGGAAGAAGCAAAAAGTGGTATTGCAGCGTGGAACATAGAGCAAAAGAGAGAGTTTTATGTGAAGGAAAGTGATGGTTCAACATGGTCTATTTGGTGTAAATCCCTAAAAGAATCAACCCCTAAGGGTTATGTTCCTTGCCGTTGGAAGGTACGTGCCTCTTTGAGAGACCACGGTTTGTGAGAGATTGTGAAATGGGTGCCCGAGCACAATTGTATGAATGTCATCGAGGAAAACAATAATCGGAATGTGAGCGCACGCTTATTGCGCATCTCATAAGGCATAAGGTTGAGTTGGACCCAGATTATGAAGTGAAGGTCGTTCAGGAAGAAGTGAAAGACCGTATGCATGTCGATGTTCCTTACCACAGGGCATGGGAGGGAAGGAGAAAAGCTATCGATCTTGTTTACGGCGACTGGGTTTCTAATTTTGACATACTTCCAAGGTATTTACTTAAGTCCTATCTAATTTTTTTGATTTGTTTGTAATTTAGGAATAAAATAAGGATTAATTTTTTTATTTTAATTTAGATTTTTCGCCGCCCTAGAGAAGAGCAACCCCGGCACAGTTGTAGAGTGGGAATGGCAACCGGGTTGGACCGATATAGAGAGGATGTTCAAATACATTTTTTGGGCATTCAAGCCTGCAATTGATTGTTTTGCTAAATGTCCTCCGGTGATTATAATCGACGGGACGCACTTGCGCGGCGGATACAAAGGTAAATTACTTGCTGCAATGGTCAAAACTGCGAATAAGCGCATCCTGCCAATTGCATATGCGATCGTGGATGAAGAGAGTGAGGAAAGTTGGTCATTCTTCTTGAAGCATTTGAGGAATCATGTTATATCCGACCGGCCTGTGTGTGTTATATCCGATCGGCACAAGGGTATCATCAGTGCAATACGCCTAATGCCCGAATGGAATGCATACCACCGGTTTTGCCTTCGTCACGTCCGTAGTAACTTGGTGGCGCAGTTTCGAAGTAAAAAGATCAAAAGGTTGTGTTGGGAGATGGGCACGAAACTTTCTAAGTCTAAATTCAAAGAACTAAGGAATGAGCTACGTGATTTTAGCAATGATGCTTATTTGTATCTCGAGGAGGTTGATGCTTGTCAGTGGACTCTTGCCAAAGACAAACACTATCGTTGGGGTAACCAGATAACGAACATTTCTGAGAGCTACAACAACGTCCTCAAGGGCGTTCGTTTCTTGCCAATCCGAGCTTTGGTGGAAGCCACTTTTGTTAAGACTGTGGATTTGTTCCAGGAAGAATACGTGAAGTCGAGGAAATGTATTACTCCGGTCCCAACTGACTTGTGGGAAGACTTCAAGAAAAAAGAAAAGAAAACCGCGCAACACAAAGTCAACCGTTATGGTGCTATTAATGGCAAGTTCAAGGTGAAAAGTAGAGCCCGACTTGGTGGTAAAGGGGACAACACGTACACTATGAAATATGAAGAGAAGAAGTGTTCTGGCTAGAAGTGGCAAGAGTATAGGTTCCCTTGTACACATGCACTAGCTATGTGTCGGAAGATAAAAGATCAACCAATCAATACGGTGAATCCATATTTCAGGGTTGTTGCTTGGCAAGACCAATTCAGTGGGCGCGATGACTTTTCCTCGGTCCCTGATATGAGAAGATGGCCTAAGGTTGGATGGAGACTCGTTCCTAACTACGAGCGAGTTATTATGCATGCTGGACCCGGTCGTTGGCAAAAGAAGAGATTTAAAATGCAAATAGATTATAGGGGACGCAAATCGAGGGGTGAATGTTTGAGATGTGGCTCAAGGAATCATTTCACCAATGCATGCCCAAAATCACACAAGAAATCCGATAGGACAAGGCTTAAGATCAATTAGGACGCTGATAGTATTCACAACGACTAGGATTGTTTGGTTGAATTGTTGTTTATGTGGCAAAACAATGTTTCATGTCTCGAAACTTTTGATATTTATGCTTTAGTTTGTTCGAGGGAGTTTATGTTGTAGTTCTTTTGAACCATGAGGCTTAATGAATTAGTTTATTTAATATATTGTTATTGTGTTTGATATTAGTACTTGTGTATCCGAATTTCAAAATCCCATCTAGGCATAAAGCCGGATTTTCTGAATCCGAGTTTCAAGGAAAATCGGATTTTGTAAATCCGATCTAGGCATAAAGCCGAATTTCCTGAATCCGATTTGTGCACTGTTCACTCCGAAGGTCGGATTTTGGTGAAATTTTGCAACCAACTTCGTAACTCTCTGTCCAAGGTCGGATTTCCTGAATCCGATTTGTACACTGTTCACTCCGAAGGTCGGATTTTGGTGAAAATTTGCAACCAACTTCGCAACTCTCTGTTCAAGGTCGGATTTATAAAATCCGACCTTGTTTCTCAATGAATAAATCAGATTTGCAGAATCCGATTTTTGACGAGTATATAAACGGTTGACCAAAATTTGGGGGAGTCAAAATCGACTCCCCCTTCTTCTCCAACCCTAATCCCGGCGATTCCCCTTACTCAAGGTCGGATTCCCCCAAACTCGGCGATTCCCCTCCCCGGCGATTCCCCTCCCCGGCGATACACACATTCAAGTAATTTGTCCATTTTTTTCATTTTCATTCTGTGTGTGTGTGTGTGTTGCCGGCAATGTGTGTGTGTGTGTTGCCGGCACTCAGGGTGTGTGTGTGTGTGTGTTTGTTGCCGGCAATGTGTGTGTGTGTGTTGCCGGCACTCAGTGTGTGTGTGTGTGTTGCCGGCAATGTGTGAATGTGTGTGTGTGACTGTGTGAATGTGTGTGTGTGTGTGTTGCCGGCACTCTGTGTGTGTCGGCACTCTGTGTGTGTGTGTGTGTGTTGCCGACACTCTGTGTGTGTGTGTATTGCCGTGACTGGTATTGATATTGGTATTGCTATTGGTATTGGTATTGGTATTGATATTGCTATTGGTATTGGTATTTGGTATTATAGGATTAAAAAATGGAGGGTTCGAGTTCCTCGCAACCCACACTGCAACATTTTAATCCGGCTCTAATAGATGACTCATTATTATACCTATATGACCATCATAGGGCGAAAGCCATTTTCGAGAACCATGAGGCTTTTAGTAAAGCCCTTAAAGGCAGGAGATTTGATAGTCATTTTTGGACTTGTATAGAGAAACCATCCCGGCATTGCCCTCCACAAGTCATAGATGAGATAAAGCGGGCAGACTTTGGGGGGGGTGATCCAACTAGGTTATATACAAGCGGACAATTGTTGATCACCGCAATGGTTGAGAGGTGGAGGCCTGAAACTCATACATTTCATTTTCATTTTGGTGAGGCCACTATCACTCTAGAAGACGTTGAGGTGTTATTAGGGTTGAAAGTGGATGGTAAGCCTGTGGAGGGGATGACACCTGAGAATTCTATGGCACAGTGGATGGCATTGTGCTTTAGATTGTTGGGAATTACACCCGTTAGTGACATGTTTGATGGGAATAAGATTTATGCAGAGTGTTTAATCAACGAGTGTCTGCGTCCGATCCCATAAAATGCCCCAAGAGAGGCCTATACACAGAGGGCCCGTGCATTACTGTTACTACTGATTGGAGGTTTCTTGATTCCTGACAATACGGGAAACAGAATACCACTTTGGATCCTGACAATACTCGAGGATTTGGATGTCGTGCTACCTACGGTTGGGGTCACTGTGTTACCTAAGTTGTACTTTGCTCTGTGTCAAGCTTCCGCGCCCGGGAAAAAAGACATTACCGGATGTTATATGCTGATGCAGGTAAATTTTTGTGTTTCTTTGTTTATTTATATTTTTTTATTATATTTTTGTTTGTTTTCCTAATTTGTGCCTTTTCTATTTGATTTAAAATTTCAGTTATGGGTTTGGGAGCGTATACCAAGACTTCAACCAAAGAGGAAGGTTAAAGATGAGAGTTACTTGGTGCCGGACGCACCATTAGGCAATAGGTAATGATTTATTTTATTATTTTTTATTTCCTATTATGTCTCAATCCAATGATTTATTTTATTATTTTTTTATTTCCTATTATGTCTCAATTCAATGATTTATTTTATTGTTTTTTATTTCCTATTATGTTAAAATCCAATGATTTATTTTATTATTTTTTATTTCCTATTATGTCTCAATCGTAGGTGGAAATGCCCAAAATCCAAAGCGAACATCGCCGCTCATTGTGTTGCTGGCATCATGGATCAGTTATCTAGCCTAAGGGATGGGGATGTAAGTATTGATTTAAGTTGCTTGATAAAATTCCTTTTCATATTTTTCTCTATTTTTTTTACCAATTTTTTATTTTTGGACAGTTTCTATTGACTCCATACACTCCCTTCATCGACGATCTCTCTGATTTCTGTAAAGAGGGGGTTAATTTCTACCTCTGTTGGACGTGGATCTTTTGTTGGGCCATCAGAGAACCATACGAGCCCAATCGGGTCCTTCTTCAATTTCAATGCGTCCAAACTGTGCTAGAGTACCTGTTAATCAATGACATTGATCGCTGGAATGCGATACACCACGGATGCCTTGGGACTGGAAAGGCATATAATGATTGAGTGCAAAAACACACTGAGGTACGACCTCATTGGAATGTGAGAGATCAGCACGTGGTCCCTCATGAATTGGGTGATCCGGAACTAGGTCCTCAATGCACATCGAACTACATGCCGTGGTTTCAAAAGAAGACTATCAGATTTATGACTGATCTCACTCAATACGGCCCTCTGGCACAGGGTTATCACTCGTCTTCATCTCTGGAGAGATTTTATGTAAGATCTAATATTATATTTTGACTTTATTCACATGGTTCAATTTAATTCTTGCTATATCTTACACTTTATTCACATGGTTCAATTTTCTGCAGTCTTCAAATCTCAGCGACATATATCATCTCGCTGATGCAGCCTTACGGGAAAATCCAAGCCTCGGTGGTAGTCTAGAGGATAAACTCTTCCAAATCTTTGATAAGAGTTTCAGTGCCCTGACTTTGGGCCCACGTGATATGAGCACTCAGTTCGATACTCAAGTTCTTCAGAAAAGACCCCATGAGTCAAGTCAAAATGTGGTACTCACGCAGAAAACAACATCAAAGCCTACTGGAGGAGGAAGGAGGAAGCGACCGGAAATTTCAGATCGAACAATCATAGTTCATCCCAATCCAACTCCGATGCAAGAAGATGATGAAAATGATGAAGGCAATGAAAGCGATGAGGATTACTACATTAGGGGCGAAGAAGAAGAAGAAGAGTCCTCTCCACCTCGTGTTTCTTCCCAAAAGAAAAAGAAAACGGTCGAGGTTCGCAAGAGTGATAGGGTTAGTAAACCGGCCAAGAAGTATACTCCCGGCGATGGGGCTACAAGGAAGAAAAGGTCGTCAAAGTAATTCAATTGTAGGACTCTTTAATTTATAACTCTTTCATGTATAAATGTTGTAATTTAGATGATTTGGGATTTGAATTTGTTAATGTTTGTTTTGATGTGTTTAGAATGTATTTATAGGTAATTTTATTCGTGAAATTTGGTTTTGGTGCTGTTTTGATAGATTGGGATTGGTTTAGAAACCAATCTTTTATTTTTTTCAAAGTGTCTGTCCAAGGTCGGATTTAAGAAATCCGACCTTCTACTTGTTTTACGAAGAAATCGGATTTTGAGAATCCGAACTTAGCTTACACGGATTCTCAAAATTCGATTTAAACTTACCCGGATTTCTGAAATCCGGCCTTACAAAAAAATCGGATTTTAAAAATCCGACTTAGGTCAAAATTTTATTTCAAAAAAAAAACTAAATGTTTTTCTGAAAATATATTATTTTAATATAATAGGGTCGGATTTCAGAAATCCGATCTTCTCTTAATCTTGATTAATTTCATTAATTTTTCGTATTAAGTGTAGGTCGGATTTGGAGAATCCGATTTAGCTGGAAAATCGGATTTTAGGAATCCGATATCGGTATTTTTCTCTTCCCCAAAATTCGACCTATATTTATCTCTACTCCTTTTTTTGAACCATTTTTTAACTCAAAAACTCCTGGAAAACCAATTGGGTATATAACAATCGGGACTCGGGAGAGGGCTCATGTGAGAGAGGAAAATTAAAATTATTACTTAATGATTTTAGTGATTAGTGATTAATTTAGATAATTTTGATTTGTTCATATTTTAGTTTTCGTATAATTCATTTCCTTAGGTCTATCGCTTTTTATTTATTTCACTATGGTGGACAAAATACTTTTTTTAGAAGAGAAAAAATGTGAACACTAGTTCTGAATCTTGTGATTTGGAAAACACTAATTCTGAAGATCAAAATGAACTAGTTCCTACATTTGCAATTGAAAGAACTTCCGATGCTATAACATAATGTAATGACAATGAACATTTACATTTTAATTGTTATATGGACTTGAAGAAACTAATTTGAGATTATCATTTAAACAAAAGGAATGAAGTTAGAAATTTTATGTTAGCATTAGGTCCTTTCAACATCATGTTTTAAAAGATCGCGAGTATTTAATAACTATGGTTGACATTTTTTTATCATCACGGTTTAAACTTAATCCTGATTGATTAGAGTTTTCTCCTACTAAGAGGGCAACATTTTGTTTGTCTTCGCTCAATTTTTATGAAGCTTTCGACTCGATCTGGATCAAATGCATTTCTTTGGTAGAGGAACTTAACACTTTAAGAAAAGAAAATACGGAAACCATTATCCTTTTACAAATTATATGAGAACTTATGTGCATATGTGGGTTGTACAAACTTGTTTTGATTTACAACATTCATCACAACATTTAGATACAATTGCGAAAAAGTATACAAGATGAACAAGTTGCAAAAAATCGTTTCAAGTTTTCATAAATGCTGAAAAATTTTGTGTTATTCAAGATTTGTCATTTAGAGGTAGTGATGAAAGTACAACTTCGTTAAATTGATATACTTTGCTGAGATTATTAAATTCATAGTTTCTTAGGAAAAATGTTGCTAATGTTGTTTTACAAAAATGTTCATTGATTTTCAAAACAAAAAAATGTTCCTTGAAAGGTGATGTACTCCTCTCATATAATTCAAAAACAAATTCTTCTACCTGTTCAAGAAAAAATACAAAGTTTTACCAGTGAAGAAATTAAAGAATTTTTTTCTATTCTTATAGGTGAATCTTGAGATTTATTGATAAAACAACAAATGATCATTATATTAAGATTTGTTGACAATGAAGGATATTCAAGAAAGTTTTCTCGATACAGTTTATGCAAAAAAAACTAGGTCATCAACGTTGCTAAATTTGATATTTGATAACTTCTCTTAGCATAATCTAAGTGTATAAAATATTCATAATCAAGGATATGATGATGTGACATGGTAGATTTAGTAGTTTTCAAACGCTAATAATAATCATCATCATAATAATAATAATAATAATAATAATAGTAATAATAATAATAATAATAATAATAATAACAACAACGGTCACTAGTATAAGAAATTACAATTATATCGATTTTGGCGAACAATTGAAATCCCAGAAAGAATATAACTCATGAAAATGGAAGATAACAAAATCTGTGAATTTAGATTACAATGAAAGGACTATAACATCATAAAATATTCTACGAGATAAATCTAGCATATTCACAAATAACATCCCACATCAGCAATACTTTTTAAGACATGCAAGTGAGACATAATCATTCAACTATTATTGATTTAAGGGCAGAGTTTAAAGTAAAAAAATTTTTATCTCAAGAATTTCGACTGGGTTTGGGACAAGAGCGAGTGTCACTTTGAGATCCTCTCCAAACCGAGGCGCATGAAGTCTGCAATTTGGGAGTTCTAGTGTGTTTGTGATGATTCTCTCGCTGTTGAAGCCACAGAGGCTAAACTGACAGTGGCACATCCTCCATTTCCCACGGAAAGTGCATTCCAGAATAAGCTGATGAGATCTCTTAGGGCTTTGGTTACTCTGAGTACAACTGCCAATCCCTTCCACAAGCGGATGGCTAAGCTTATATCTTACACCGAAATTAGAGTTGGAACCCGCAGTTGCTGTAACAATGAAGAGGTTGGGGCGGATGTATCCTAATTGGCCAGTGGAGGTCGTGCCTTTTACGGAAGTGACCCGTGCTATGGCAGAGGACTACTACCAGCTTCTAGTTGCTGATGACCCCGGGGGAGGAGGATACAAGTTCAAGTGAGAATGAGTATTGATTTCAGTTTTTCTGAATTTAATGTAAATCTTTATGGAGGTGTTATGTCTATTTAGTTGTTATTTCCACTGTTTTCTGTGGAATTTATGGATTTAGGAATGGATGTTGCTTTTTTTGTAGAATTATGGAGCTATTATGTTGATTTAGGTTTTATTTCTACTTTTTTTTGGAATTTATGCATCTATGGGAATGATGTTGCTCATTTCTAGGATTTTTTTTTAAAAAAATAGAAGTAAAAAAACTCTACTATTGGTGATTTAAGATCATAGTTTGAAGGAAAAAAAATATACAATTGGCACATTACGCCAAAAATTGGTAACAAGCGACACAAATACCATGTTAGATAGTCCGAAAATGTAGCAGTTGTTTCAACCTTCAAACAATTGGAAGTTTCGACCATCAAACAATTGGAGAAATAATCTAAACTAGAGAGCTCTTCTTATCCAACATGGCTTAAATGAATGATTGAAACTGAATTGATGAATGTGGGGAGCAGAGTGGGAGGGTTGAGTAAGGTGGTTTAGGGGATTAGGATATGGGATGATTATTACCAGGAGGTCGAGTGTTCGATTATCACTGAGACCATCCAATTTTTATTTTTAATTATTTTTCTAAAAAAAGAATGCGAGGAGCAAGTAAAATATTGGAATACTCACCCGTGGGAAGGATAGGAAAAAGAAAAAGTGGAGATCCAGAAATATATCAATGTAAATGCTTGTGTTTATTTTTAAATAATGTATTTTATTAATAAAAAAAGAAAATATCCCATATCAACCAAAGACGTGTGTGTGTGCGCGCGCGCATAATTAAAAGTCGAGCTTATTTCCAGCCTAATTAATTTCAATCTTTCATAATCAACAATTCTCATATCTAACAGCTAAGTAAACTTTGATACCAACCTTATACCCCTTGAGTGGAGATGTTATATGCTTTCCTTGTGGTAATCACTAGAGACGTTCACGGTCCGGGTGATTCGGTTTTAGCTAAACCGTGAACCAAACCAAAAGTTACGGTTTTAAATTTTTCAAACCAAAACCAAACCATGACAAAACAAAATCCAGACCAATGGGTTGGTTTGCCAGTTTCACGGTTTGGGCAATAAATTGGGCTTTTTCTTTTCTTTTTCTAAAGAAAATTCATGAGTCCAATTCAGTAATACTAGATTTGACCCAATTACATTATCCCTAGTTCCCTATCCCTATCAGTCACACACAACATCAGGATTCCCAATTGAAATCCATTGCAGGCATTGCTGGTAATCGGCGTGCAACCAAGAAAGGAGTAAAAATATTTCAACAAAGAAAAATAGCTAAAAAAACAAGAATCAAGATATCATGTTTCAAAAAAATAATTGAGTTTGGAAGGTATGTTCAAGGAGACCATGTACAAAGGATCTAAATTGAATTAAGATACGAGGCATGCAAATATTTTTTGTGATTTACGGATTGAGTTTTACCAAAGAGACGAGACGTGAAGTTATTTCTTTTGATTTATGGATTGAGTTTCACGAAAGAGAAAGACATGAGTAGACGGCCGAATATATCATGTGATTTGGCCATATTGAGCTTACAAGATTAGAAAAATGGCGTTATATCTCAATTAGAACTTAGCAACAAACAGAGTTATAGGATTTTTGTCAGCGATAGCAGGAAGGAGCACAGGCGATCAAAGGAGATGAGAAAATTTATGATCCCAAGAGGCTCAGGGTTTCCAAAGGTTTATTTAATATGGCCTTTTACTAACCTATGATACAAAAGAAATGGGTAAAAAAATTAGAAAAATGAAAGAAAACTAAATTAAAATATCAATATTGTAATCATTATAAGTAAACAAATAATAAGATACGGTCCGGTTTGGTTTAATAACCGGTTTTTCAGTCCAATCCGTAAACCGAACCGTTATATAGGGTTTGAAAGTTTTTGAAACTAACAAGTTGAAAATACAATTTATAAACCAACCCAAAACCCAACTAATCAACTATTTGGCCGATTTTACCAATTTAAAATAAATCGTGAACACCTCTAGTTATAATTTTGGCTCTCCTAGGAGGGTCAATATACGATAAATCACTCAATCTCCTTGAAATGTATACAAGAACCTAACAGACTGTATTAGCCAAGTTCTTGTATTTTGATCTCCCTTAACTGATTAGTCTCAAAGAAAAATTTATCTAGCGTGATCGT